GCATTCAGCCTGCTGAGCCCTCTCTGGTCCTCCAATTGTTATTCTTTGTTTTGTTTTGGAAGGGAGTTTGATCCCTGGCGTCCCGTATGGTTCCCTGAACACTGCTAGAAGTAATTCTTGAGTGTAGAGCAGGAATAACCCTTGAGCATGACCAGGTGTGGGTCAACAAATAAATAACAATAACCAACAAAACAAAACAAAACAAACCCACCCAAATAATAGGCCTTTTTAAGGAGATGAAGATACGGCTCTAGCGACAGCACATGCCTCACATGTAGCAGGTCCTGCATTTGACACTCAGTATTGCAACCCTGCTGAGCACTACCAGGTGAAGCCTGGTGACCCTGGAGTACCACAGGTTATAGTGTTATGGGGCCCCCATTAAAATAATGTTTACTTATTTTATACAAAATATATACTTTTTGAAATAAAGACATTGTTTCAGAAACTATATATTCTGGCCAAAAAGCACTTGAAAAAATGCAACATTACTAATCATTAAGGAAATGTGAATCCAAAGGAGCTCACCACACATCCGGAGTACTATACAGAAAGAACACAAGTGTTGGTCTTGATATGCACTATATAGCAGATCTTAAGGAATTAAGTATTTATTTTATGATCTAACAGTTACACTTCTGAGTGTACATTCAAAGAAAGTGAAAAAAGAGGGTCTCAAAGAGGTATTTGTAGACATAGATTCATAGTAGCGTTATTCACACTAGCTTAAATATGAAAGCAAGTGAATAGATAAGCAAAATGAATATATGCAATGAACACTTTCATATTAAAAGGAAATTATGAAATATGCTACATGAATAAACATTTAGATTATGCTAAATTAAATAAGCTACATAAAAAGACAAATTCCGTATGAGCCTATGTCTATGAGAGTCAAAGTCAAACAGAAAGTAAAATGGTGGTTACAAGAACTGAGAGTGAGGAGGGGGCAGGAATGGGAGATTATTTCATGGAGTGTTTTGGTTTTGCAAGATGACGAGTTTTGGAGATGCAGGATGGTGATAGTAGTACAACTCTATGAATGGGTTAAATACCACTGAACCTTGCACTTAAAAATGGCAGATGGCATTTTTTCATATGACTTCTGAATGCTCTAAATCACTAATCATCAGGGAGATGCAAATCAAAACAATAATGAGATAACATCTCACACCACAGAGGCTGGCACACATCAAAAAGAACAAGAGCCAGAGCGATAGTCCAGTGGGTAGGGTGTTTGCCTTGCATGCGGCCAATCCGGGTTCGATCTTTGGCATTCCATATGGTACCCCAAGCACTGCCAGAAGTAATTCCTGAATGCAGAGTCAGGCATAAACTCAAAGCATCACTGTGTATGACCCAAAAAGAAAAAAAAAAACAGTGCTGGTACAGGTGTGGGGAGAAAAGGAACCCTTATTCATTGTTGGTGGGAATGCAACTGGCCCAGTCTTTTTGGAAAACAATATGGTCATTCCTCAAAAAAAAACTAGAAATTGAGTTTCTATCTGACCCAGCAATACCACTTTTGGGAATATAGCCTGGGGGCCAAAAACACATAGCAGAAACACCATCTGCACTTCTATGTTCATTGTAACACTGTTCACAATAGCCAGAATCTGGAAACAACCTGAGTGCCAGAGAACAGACGACTGGATAAAGAAACTATGGTACATCTACACAATGGAATACTACGCAACTGTTAGGAAAAATGAAGTCATGAAATGGATGGTCATGGAGTGTATTGTGCTGAGTGAAATGAGTCAGGAGAGGAACAGGCACAGAATGATTGCACTCATTTGTGGGATATAAAAATACATAGATGAAGCTAATACCCAAGGACAGTAGAAACAATGGCTGGGAGGACTAGTCCGCTGTTGGAAGCTTTTCAAAAGTGGGGGTGAGGGGGAGGACAGTTGGGATAGACAAGGGATCACTATGACAATGATAGCTGGAAATGATCACTCTGGACAAGAACTGAATGCTGAAAGTAGGTAAAGGGATATGCATGATAACTTTTCAGTACCATAATGCTTATGGGGGTAGGGGAGAGAGAGACAGAGACAGAGACAGTAACACACACACACACACACACACACACACACACAGAGTTATTGCCATAGAAGTAAGGCCTGGGTGATGGGCTGGCAGGAGGAAAACTGGGGATATTGGTGGTGGGAAGTGTGTACTAGTGAAGGGATGGATGTTGGAACATTATATGACTGAAACTCAGTCATGAACAACTTTGTAACCATGTATCTCACAGTAATTTTTTTTTTTTGGCTTTTTGGGTCACACCTGGCAATGCACAGGGGTTACTCCTGGCTCCTGCACTCAGGAGTTACTCTGGGCGGTGCTCAGGGGACCATATGGGATGCTGAGACTCGAACCCGGGTCGGATGCGTGCAAGGCAAATTCCCTCCCCGCTGTGCTGTCACTCCAACCCCATCTCACGGTAATTTAATAAAAATAAATAAATAAATAATGGCAAATGGAAGAGCTGGATAGATAGCTCAATGGCTGAAGCATACGCTTTCCATACAAGAAGCCTGGGCTCAGTGTTTAGCACCATGCTGGGAGTAGCCCATGAGCACCACCAGGTGTGACTTCCTCCAAAAAACCAGGTATCTAGTGGACCCAGAATAGCATAGTGGCTTAGACACCTGCTCTGCAAGTCTAAAGTTGCTTTTAGATTCTCACTTATCACCACATGCACCAAGCATAATTTTGGCAGCTTTGCTGTCTGGGATCTCTGGTACTATAAGCTGTTTCCTGCCAGACCACGGCCAGGTGTACACCAGCACAGCCAAGAGGTATGACGTGGAGAGAACTGCAACTGGAGGTGTTTGAGAGCCATAGCCAAGAAGTGCAGCCCCTGAAGAACAGGTGGAGGCCCTGGACCCTGGGGAGTTCTACAGGACTCGAAGCAAGCACAGCTAGCAAGAGTGTGAACATCCGCACAACAGGAGCCTGTGAGGAGCACTCGCCAGGGGCATGAGAGCCAGAGTGCAGCCCTCAGGGAGCACCAAGGCTAAGTGAGAGCAACTGATCCCAATGTTTGACCCCCTGGCCAGCACCCGAACTGAATGTGCAGGCCCTGGAGCCAGGTGTGTCGATCCCTGCTCCACAGAGGAACAATGAAGATGAGGAGAGAAAATGAAAAAAGGGAGGATGTGCAGCTTGCCTTGCACATGGCCAGACAGATTCAATCCTCAGCATACATACAGTTGTCTCTCCCATCCCTACCTTCTTGAGCCTAACTAGGAAAGATCCCTGAGCGTAGAGCCAGGAGTTAGTTCTGAGCACACCAGTTGTGGCCTCCACTCCCACACCTCCCTACCACCAAAAAAAAAAAAAGGAAAACTAAGGGACCTGAGAAATTATTCAAAGGGCTAAAGTGCATGCTTTGTCTCTGGGAGGCCTGGGTTCAATTTCAAGCACCACATGGTCTTGGAAAGCAGTAGAACAACTCCAAGCACTCATTTGCTATTAATCCTTAAGAACTATCAGGTGTGTCTCCAAGTTCAAAACCAGAAACAACAAAGACCAGAGCTGTCTCGAAGGACCAGATGCATGCTTTGCATACAGGAACTATGCGTGACACCGCATAGTTTCCCAACACCAATCATCACCAGGAACAACCACCAAGAAGTTGCACTGTCAGCTGTGCATGACAACCCCACCTGTAGCCTAAAATGCAGATCCTCAGAATTTTTTTTTTTTTTTTGCTTTTTTGGGTCACACCCGGCGATGATGCATAGGGGTTACTCCTGGCTCTGCACTCAGGAGTTACTCCTGGCGGTGCTCAGGGGACCATATGGGATGCTGGGAATCGAACCCGGGTCGGCCACGTGCAAGGCAAATGCCCTACCCGCTGTGCTATCTCTCCAGCCCCCCAGAAAATATTTTTAATAAAAAGAGGTGATACATTTTTGCCTTATACCTATTTTACCACAATTAAAAGAGCTGGGAAAAAATGCCTTAGCATATCTAAAATTTCCATCATAGTCTATTTGTATTTTGCTTGTTCTTTGGCTTTTGATAACACCCAGATGTGCTCAGGGCTTACTCCTGGCTATGATCAGGATCACTTTAAAATTTTTTTTTCGGGTTCACTCTTTATGGTGCTCAGGGGACAGTACGTGGTACCAGGGATTGGGTTGAGCCCAAGTCAGCTGCATGCAAGGCAAGCACTTTAACCACTGCACTCTCTGACCCCATATTAATTTAAGGCTCACATTTTTTTTCTAAATCTTTTCTCTTGTAAACATGTCAACAAAAAGATGACATGTTAACTATCCTAATACACTACCAATATAAAATATAACATAGCAAACCAAACCATGGTATTGCTTCTTCAAAATTAAGATTCCTAAATTGGGCATTCTCTTATCCTCAAGTTAGATTTCTTTTTTAAAAAAAAATATTTATTTTTTGCTTTTTGGGTCACACCTAGTGATGCCCAGGGGTTATTCCTGGTTCTGCATTCAGGAATTACTCCTGGCGGTGCTTAGGGGACCATATGGGATGCTGGGAATCGAATCTGGGTTGGCCGCGTGCAAGACAAGTACCATCCCCCTTGTTCTAGCTCTCTAGTCCCTAAATCCCATTTTAATGGAAAACAAACCAGAATTAAAACGCCAAGAATGCAGACTATTACACAAATAAATATCTTACAAATATCACATATAAGTCTGAGGAGCACATAGCAAATGCTTAAAGGTTGTAGCACATGCTGCGTATGTGAGAGCTGCTGGCTCAGTTCCCAGCACCACATGGTCCCCCACCACCAGCAGTGTGTCCCCAGTTGAAAAAGCAAAACAAAAGCAACAAAACTACCACACGTACATTAAGCGGTCATTAAGCGTTGCTTATTATTTCCCAGATGCTAATTATAATTATACACAGGTAAAGGCAGTTTTCCAAAGTTAAAAAAAAAAAGGTTTCAATCTCATTATACAAAGACAAGTCCAATAAATAAATAAATAAATAAATAAAACAAATAGGGTGGAGTAAATTTTTATTTTCAGACACTTTCACAAAGAAGCTTCTCAGTGGCTAAGCTCTCCAGTGGGGAGAAGAGCAGGGTTCCCCGCAGCGTCCCCAGCGGCTCCGCTCAGGGCCGGGGCTCCTCTTGGCCAGAGTGGTGAGGCGGAGGAGTGTACTTTCCTTCCTTTATTAGCTTATCCCGCTGCTTCCTGATGGCATTCAGGCGACGGATCTGTCAGAGAAAAAAAAACAACACTTATTTCCTTTAGAAATAAAAACTGGGGGGGGGGGAGGGGAAGGGCAGGGAAGGACTGACTACACCGAGAGGTGCTCAGGGGACCATATATGGTGCTCAGGATTTGAACCAGGGCTGGTAGCATGCAAGGCAATGTCTTCCTGCTGTACTATCTTGCTGGACCAAGAGGAAAATAAGTATTTAAATGAGGAAGAGCACTAGAGAGGGCTGGAGAAGTGGGTGAAAACTGTTTTCATGTTTAAACTATGGAAGCTCTTCACCGTAAAGGATCTCTGAGACAAAGTTATCTTTAGCGAACTAAGTTGAGGACCTACGTTGGGGTTCAGTGGTAGGGGACCTGCATGAGTCTAAGAGTTGGATCCCAGCCACCTCCCTGCGTGCCAAGTGTGCTGCAGTCACTCAATCATTTTGGGGTCTGTGGCACCAGAACCAAGTGTGTCTGAGCCCTGGTCATTGCAACATGAAAGAAGTGGGAAAAATTATTTTAGTAAAAAACAAATTAAAGGGGCTGGAGCTATAGTACAGCGGGTAGGGCGTTTGCCTTGCATGCAGCCGACCCGGGTTAGATTCCCAGCATCCCATATGGTCCCCTGTGCACTGCCAGAGTAATTCCTGAGTGCAGAGCCAGGAGTCACCCCTGTGCACCCTGTGCACTGCCAGGTGTGACCCAAAAAGCAAAAAAAAAAAAAAAAAAAAACAAAAAAAAAACCCCCAAAAAATTAAAGAAAAATAAATTGAAACCAGTTCCCAAGGTTGTTTAATTTTTGGTTCTGTTTTCCCTAGAACCAATGCTCATAGTTGGTGTATGCACAAGCAGTGCATTACAGACGGCAGCAGAAAAGGCTGGACACTGAAAGCTGCAGTCCCAAAGTTTTTAACAATATCTTTGCATACCGCTTTGAAAACTAGTAATGAAAATGTTCCTACTCTAAGGCTGCAGAGATAGTACAGGGGTCAACACACTTGCTTTGCACCTGGCCAACCCACTTGATCTCAGCACCACACACGGTACCCTAAGCACCACCAGGTGTCATCCCAGAGCACAGCAGGTGTGGCCCCCAAATCTCCCCACACCAAACAAACACCATAAAACCATTAAGAAACACACTTGTACATGGTAAAATCTTTAATGTTAAAGTCGAGGCCCTACAGGTCTGTATTCCTGACCGCTCTACTGAAAGTGACCCAGCTGCTGCTGACTCTTTATTCTCCAGAGAACGAACAGGGAGAGCCCACGTGAGGGCATTTACCACAGTGAAATGAAGAGTCATCTAGGCTCGGCCACTAGTCATTGCTGAGCCCTGCCTCGCCTTCTCTCTGCAGAGGACTTGCTTCCAGGAATGCCAAACTCCCCAAGACTATAGGAGAGTCACAGTTCAGGATCAAGGATTCCATGATACAGAAAACAAACAAACAAAAATCCCCAATAGTACAGTGGGTAGGGCACTTGCCTTGCACACAGATGACCCAGGTTCAATCCCCAGAATCCCAGATGGTCCCCCGAGCATCCCTGAACACAGAGCAAGGAGTAACCACTGGCACCACCAGGTGTGACCACACAACAAAACCAAAAATATGACACAGGAAACAGACTACCCGATTCTGGAAGCAACTTCCTATTCTCAAAAACCTGCAGCAAGGGGCTGGAGCGATAGCACAACGGGTAGGGCGTTTGCCTTGCAAGCGGCCGACTTGGGTTCAATTCCCAGCATCCCATATGGTCCCCTGAGCACTCAGGAGTAATTCCTGAGTGCAAAGGCAGGAGTAACCCCTATGCATCGCTTGGTGTGACCCAAAAAGAAAAAAAAATCAGCAGCAAGAAGAAATCTGAGGGTCCAGGGAACGCTCCGTGGCTAAAAGCATGTGCAAGTGTGAGACCAGGAGTCGGCTGCCCAGTACCACCCACAGGCACCAAGTACAGTCCTGGGAGCACCTGCTGTTCAAGCACACGTGAGGAGCAGTGACACCACCCAGTGAACACACAGCGAGAATGTGCATGAGCACCAGCAGATGTGATCTCCTGTGGGCAAGGGTGCAAGCCATGCAACTAAACTGTACGACACCTGATCATGACAATAATTGCAACAAAGGGAAGAGGAGGACAGAAAAAGGAAATTGAAACTGATTTATTACTTATAGGGCCTTCTTTTCAAGACTTTATATCCCAATACCCTTCCCTAGATTTCTCTCTCCAGCTCATGCACTTAATGTTTCCTCTGCCGGGAACATTCTTCTCTCGTATTCATGTGGTTCACTTCTTTTTTGTTGTTTGTTTTGAAGACATACCCGGCGATGCTCAGCTGTTACTCCTGGCTCTGCACTCAGAAATCACTCATGGTGGGCTGGGAGTGACCATATGGGATGCTGGGGATTGAACCTGGGATTGGCTATGTGCAAGGCAAATGCCTTACCCACTATACTATCATTCCAGACCCAATGCCGTTCACTTGTTAAGTTTCTGTTCAAATGTCTTCTGCTGGCTAAGCATTTCTCTAACCATCCTCTCTTTAAAATATAAATAAAAGAGGGGTTGGAGTAATAGCACAGCAGGTAGGACATTTGACTTGCACTTAGTCAACCTGGGTTTGATACCCGGCACCCCATATGGTCCCCCAATCCAAGCTATGAGCACTGCTGGATGTGGCCCAAAACAAAATAATTAAGAAGTAAATAAAAGAGCATCCTCTTAGCTCCTACAAATGAGTCAGTGCTTTTACCCTTCTGCTGATTCTCCCACTGTAGTTTTCAACACTTGACATGCAGTTTTTTTCTAATTAAAAAAATTTTTTTCTTGGCTTGCAATCCTATCATTAGTGGTTTCATCTTTTTTTTATATATATAACCATTTTTTTTAATTGAATCACCATGAGCTACAGTTATAAAACTTTCATGTTTGAGTTTTTTGAGTTTCAGTCACACAATGATCGAACACCTGTCCCACAACCAGTATACATTTTCCACCACCAATGTCCCCAGTATCCCTCCCCTCCACCTCTATGGCAGACAACTTCCCTCTTACTCTCTCTCTACTTAAGGGTATTGTGGCTTGCAATACAGATAGTGAGAGGCCATCATGTGTAGTTCTTTATTTACTTTCAGCACACATTTCCCATCCCGAGCGATCCCTCTAGCCACCATTGACTTAGTGATCCCTTCTCTATCCCAGATGCCTTCTCCCCCAGCTCATAAGGCAGGCTTCCAACCATGGAGTAATCTTTCTGGCGCTTGTCTACTGTGCTTGGGTGTTAGTGTCATATTATGGTATTTTATATTCCACAATCATTCGTGGTTTCTTATGGACATCATTCTGACACCACACCCACCTCCCATCTCAATTGTGTCAGTTCTCCTACCTTTGGATCTTTGTTGCGGCCTCACTGTGTATCTTTAAGTTCCACATATGAGAGAGATAATTCTGTATTTGCACCTTTTATTCTAACTTCACTCAGCATGATATCCTCTAGTTCTATCCACATTGCTACAAACTGCGTGAGGTTGTTCTTTCTCAGAGCTGCCTGGTATTCCTTTGGGTATATATATATATATATATAAGTTCTTGATCCATTCATCTGTAGTTGGGGCATTATGGTTTGCAATACATATAGTGAGGGGATTGTTTGGACTGTTTCTATATCCTGGCTATTGCACTAAGTGCAGTGATGAACCAAGGTGTGCATATATCCTTTAGAATTAATGTTTCCGTGTTTTAGGGATAGATGTCAAGAAGAGGTATTGCTGGATCATAAGGGAGTTATAGTCCTATTTTTTTTTTTTTGAGAAAACTCCATATTGCTTTTAATAGAAGTTGAACTAGATAGCATTCCCACCACCAGCGGATGAGGGTTCCTTTCTTCCTTTCTCACTACAACACCACCAACACTGGACATACTACTTTTTTTTTTTTTTTCGCTTTTTGGGTCACACCCGGTGATGCACAGGGGTTACTCCTGGCTCTGCACTCAGGAGTTACTCCTGGTGGTGCTCAGGGGACCATATGGGATTGCATTGCTGGGAATGGAACCCGGGTCGGCTACATGCAAGGCAAATGCCCTACCCGCTGTGCTATCTCTCCAGTCCCTGGACATACTATTTTTAAACTTGAGTTTTCTGCTCTTCTTGGAATATAAGCAACACAGAGCACGAATTACTTGCCATTTTTCTTGTTATATTCCTAGTGCCTAAATAGTTCCTACTATAACAGGTGATGTAACAAATATTTTCTAAGTGACTGACTACATTTTCACAAAGATATAAAGAGTTAGTACATAATTTCAACAGAAAACTTCTAGGTATCCAAAATACTGATATAAATCGTAAGCATTACTTATTTATTTTAGATGTTGCTGGGAATCAAACTCAGATATCACATACATAAGTATTCTACAACTGATCCTATATCCTGGTCGAGAAAAAAACTTTTTTTTTTTAATGTAGGAGTACTGCTATTTATTCAGCCACTGATTAGCTGATTGAATTGGGCATGAACTCCACCCTGGTTGAAATTTTAACCATTTTTACGTGTGTTGTGTGTGCATATGCACCCCAGGGCCCCAGGCCCTCTCACACTCAGGAATATGCTACCCCACTGAGCTACATTTCCAGCTCAGGACCACTCATTTTCCGCCTTTCTTTCCCACCTGTCTTTTCTGCTATGCTAACTGCACACGCAGGTGCTGTTCTGGTACACATCTGGTTGCAGAATGACCCCTGGTTGTGGTACTTGCACTCTAGGTTCTGGTGCTGGTCAGGGAGCACACTTTGTTGGCATGCCACCATGCCCAAATGGCAATACCCCTGAGCTGCACTTGGCATGTGGGACAGTGCTGGGGATGAACTCACGGTCTAAACCTTGCAAGGCAGAGACTCTACCACAAAACTCTCCCATGGCCCCCAAGACTACATTCTTACAGAAACCAAAACCCAAATAAATGGGGGCTGGAGAGATAGTTCAGGGTTGACGCTTGCCTTGCATGATGTCAACTCCAGTTTGATACCCAGCATCATACCTGGTCCTCTGGAATAGGCCCTGACCACTGCCGACTGTGGCTCCCAAACCCAAAACAAATAAACCAAAATCAAAAATAAATACATTGCAAACGCTAGCTATGCACTGGCTAATAATCATTCACTATCCTTCAGTATTAATCATTTAAAAATCAATATACATGCCCAAGCGATACAGTACAGTGGGTAGGGCATTTGCCTTGCACATGGCCAACTAGGGTTCTATTCCCGGCATTCCATATGGTCCTCCTGAGCATTCCCAGGAGTCATTTCTGAGTGCAGAGCCAGGAGTAACACCTGAGCATCTCCAGGTATGACCCAAAAAGAAAATGGAAAACACACACACACACACACACACACACACACACACACAGAGCGTGGGGATAGTATACCGGGTAGGGCAACAGCCTACAGCCAACCCGGGGTTTCATCTCCAGCACCTGAGCCTGTCAGGAGTGATCGCTAAGTGCAGAGGAAGAAACAAGCCCTGAGCACAACTGGGTGTCGCCCCAAAACAACAATGGCAACAACAAAAATAATAATATACGGACACAATATAAAATTGTTACCTCTTTCCTTCCAAGTTTGGTTTAACTTTAACCACATGCAAACAGCAGATATTAAAAAGATACAAAATTAGAAAAATCTTGGTTCTGGGGGTCATACCAGAATGTGCCAGGAGCTAATCCTGACACAATGCCCAGGGTTACTTCCTGAGTGCTAGAAGTATCATGCACACCCAGGACTCCTTGTGCAAAGCAAGCACTCCAGTCCTCCAAACCACCTCTCTGGCCCAGAAACCACAACTGAGGGATATGTCCGTAAGAAAGTGTAAGCGCGACATCTTATTATGACATCTTATTATCTCATTCCTACTTCAGACAAACTGGCAGGCTTCCGAATGTAGCCTGCCCACACGGCAGAGTCTGGCAAACTCCCCGTGGCGTACCCAATATGCCAAATACCAGTAACAATGATGGGTCTCATTGTCCTAAAGAGCCTTGAATATAATCTCAGGGCTAGGATGAAGGAGACGTTACTGGGGCCTGCTCCAGGCAATCGACGAATAACAGGATGGTTGTGATTCGTAAGAAAGTACATGCTTAGGATGTATGAGGGCTTGGATACCATCCCCAGCAAGGAAAGAAAAAAGCTCTGGCCTGAGAAAAAGACAGCTACTGTTAGGGCCAGAGTGAAGCATGCTGGGTAGGGTGCTTGCTCTGCCCATGGATAACTCAGGTTCCAAGCCCGGCATCCCATATGTTCCATGAGCCCTGCCACAAGTGATTCCTGAGCAGAGCCAAGAGTAAGCCCTGAGCACTGCCACATGTGACCAAAACAAAACAGAACAAAACCAAAATAAAAAAGGGTGAAAAAAAAAAGAAAACAGCTCGTCTTTCCATCACTTTCTCACCGTTTTCTGCCGAAGCAGACATTCGACGAAATCATCGTATTCTATCTTGCACTCCTTCTCTGCTCGCGTGCCACCAATCCCATGTGCGCACTCTATCCATTCTTTTTCAAAAGCATGGCATCGACTTGGAATCTTGTGAGGCTGCTCAGCGCTCTGGATTGTCATCCAGCGGTCTAAGTTAATCCCCAGTCTTTTCTGTACATCGAAGAAAGGCATGGCTGAAATGGAAGACAAGAATGCTGTAACACTGCAATCAGACCAGCAACTTCTATTGTTTTGTGTTTTTTGGAGACCACCCCCAGAAGTACTCAAGCCTTACTACTGACTCTGTGTTCAGGGATCACTCCTCACAGGGCTCAGGGAATAGACAGTATGATGCTGGGAACAGAAACCACAACGGCCACATGCAAGGCACATGCCTCACCCACGTACAATCTCTCCAGCGCTCCCCCCCGATCAATAATTTCTAAGAATGAGATAGTCACGCTAAGGATATTTTATACTATTCTCCCAATTCCTTCTTTTTTTTGGGGGGGGGGGAGCACACCCAAAGGTATTCAAGGCTGACTATTGGATTTATGTTCACAGATCACTCCTGGCCCTACACACTGCACTACTGCTCTGGTCCTCCAAATTTGTTATTTTTAAAAAAGTTAACTGTATTTTATATATTTATTTGGGTTTTGGGCCACAATCAGCAGTGCTCAGGGAATAAACCTGACAGATTTGGGGACCATCTGGGGTCCCAGGGATTGGACCCAGGTCAGATACATGCAAGGCAAAAGCCCTACCTGCTATACTATTTTTCAGCAACATTCTTTCAATTTCTTCACAGCAAAATTTTTCAATAGATTCTTTCTGTATACAGTAGATGAGTAATTTTTTTTAAGTGTTTTTGGGTCACTCCCAGCAATGTTCATTACTCCTCACTCTGCACCCTGGTGGGCGCGGGGGACCACATAGGACAGCAGGGATTAAACCTGTGTTGGCCATGTATAAGGCAAATGCCCTATGTGCTATACCATCTCTCTGACCTGATGAGCAATTTCTGGGCCTTCACAAGACCCCAGGAAAAGAGAACCGGAACGGAAAAACATGTAATAATCCCCCAATAGTAGTCATCTTTACCAAACGTTTAAAAACAGTGGGAGTGTTTTGACCTAATAATCCTAAATCTTTGAAAGAGATCTAAAAATATAACTAAAAAGATTTAAAATGAGAAATTACAGGGCCTTACAGGATGGGGGTGGAGCCGGCCCTTTCCTCCCCATTCCAACGAGACCCAAAGTCGCCACCCATGAATGGCCTTTCTGGCTCGTGATCAAGCTGCTTAACGGTCAGGATCCCAGAGACTCAGGAACAAATCTCGGAACCCAGCAGGTTTTGGCAGAAATCCCTCCAGATTTAATTGTTAAAATTTCGGAATTTCAAAATCGTGTGGCCACTACTGCAGCCACGTGACATCCTATGTTATTCATAACCAGCAACAGAAAACAAATTGTCTACTGCTGCCTTTTCAGCAGATCTGAATGTTGGGATAAAATCCCAAATAATAATGGTGGGTCTGGTGTCAAAATATTGAATGTGATCAAAGTAGAGAGAGTAATGTGGAAATCATCTGCCTCACAGGTAGGGGGAGGGTGTGAGATGGGGGTATACTGGAGTTGTTGGGGGTGGAGAATGGGCACTGGTGAAGGTATGGGTGTTTCATTGTATGACCGAGACTTAGACCCAGAAGCTTTGTAACTGCTCTCATGGTGATTCAATAAATAAAATTATAAAAAATGAAAAAAAAAAAAGTAAGGTGGAGTTCATGCGCAATTCAGTCAGCTAATCAGTGGCTGAATAAATAGCAGTATTCCTACATTAAATAAAAGAGAGAAATTAAAAAGACTGTACAATTTTTCTATTCACACCAACTTGGGTGAAAGACACTTCAAAAAAGTTGTCTGAGATCTGCATCCCTCCTCATATCTCTGAGGAGTACTTAGCATACCACTGTAACATATGATCTCCTAGAACGCTTCCCCCTTGAACAAGTGTCATGAAGCCAGCGATCTGATGGAGGCTCAGTAAGAGCTGGGGTGGAGTGAGAAGGCAGGAGCTACAAAGAACTTAAGCACATAACAAGGTAAAATGGATGATTAAACCCAGAACCCACCATGGGCCGAAGAGATAGTACCAAGCTAGGATGCTTAACATGCATGTGGTCCACCTATGTTCAATCCCCAGCAACCCATGGCTCCTCTCTCCTCAGTACCAAGGACCAATCCAGAAGACAGAGTTGGCATAGCCCCTCAACATTTTTGGGTGTGGCCAAAAAAACTCCAAACTCCAATTAATCAATCCAGTATACATTTAGTAGAAGTGTGTTGGGGGAAATAATATACATAGAACATAGTTAATTGGCATGGCACTACAACTTGTGTTAATTACGCCACATCCAAGCATGAGTCACCAGTGGTAAGCTCCAGCGTCAACGTGTTAAATGAAAAAAACGGGGGGGGGGGGGGTCATGTATAATGTGAAAGACAGTATGAAAGATATTTACATTTAAATTTTTATAGTTAAAAAAAAATTCTCCCCTTCGCTACATCCAGTGGTGATCAGGGGTTACCTGTGGCTCTACACTCAGGGATCACTCCTGGTGGACTCAGGGAACCATACAGGGTACCGGAATCAAACGTGGATTGACTGCGCACAGCAAGCGCCTCACTGAAATGTTGTTCTGGCCCCCTAAATTTAAATTCATTAATTTTTCTACCTATTCTCTCAGTCACTTGTGACATATCATTCCAGGTACTGCGTTGGGGTAGAGGAGCAAGAGGCTGCCGCAGTCCTAAGTACAGGGATGCAAACACACACACACACACACACAGAGGGATGCAAACATACACACAGGATGCTACACACACAGGAATGCTACACACACACACACACATACACAGAGATGCTATACACACACACAAACAGGAATCTACACATACACGGGAATGCTCACACACATACACACATACACACACACACACAAGGATGCTACATACACACATACACAAACACACACCCCACCACCCACCACCCCCGGAAGTAGGAGATTGGTAGTCAGGGGGGTAAAAAGTGCCCAGATGCCCAGAGTCTAGAAGATACTTTTCATACGGATCCAAGGGTTGGCGAGGTCATAGGGAACGAGCATATGCTTTGCATGCAGGAGGCCCATTCGGATCAGGTACCGGATGGTCCCCCAACAGTACTGGGCGCGACCCTCGAGGGCTAAGTCGAGAGTAACCCTGGACTCAGTGGGTCCCCCCAAATAAACCAACAGCACGGGCTGAGTTCGCCGAGCACGGCTGGGTGGACAGACCTCCACTCCCGGGTCACCGCGCGACTAGCAGCAGGAAACGCCGGGGGCGTGCGGGGGCCGAGGCGGGCCGGGACCCCGCCGCAGCAGGGTGCGTGGGGGCCGGGAATGAGACGCGCCGAGAACGCAGGGCAAAGGAGCGTCAAGAGAGACGCAGGTGGTCTGCACTGAGCACGCAGTGAGCCTGGAGAGAGCCCCGAACGGGCGCGGTGCACAAGGTGGGTGACATTGGCTCTGCAGGTCACGGGGCCTGGGGACGCAGGAAGCAGGCCCGGGGCCGGGCCTCGGAGCGCCGGGCAGCCGGCGAGGCAGAAGGAAGGGACAGAAACCGCGGAGGGGAGGACCCGCGACTAGACCTCCCCGCGGACGCCGCCGCTGCCTCACCGTCCTGCCTCCGTGCCCTTGTCTCCTCGTTGGCGCCGCTCCCCGACGACCCGCGGACCCAGCGGAGACCTGCCGCAAAGGACGCCGGCAGCACGACACTTGCAGCGCGACGCCGGGAGGCAGCCTGCTCTCCGCCCTCGCGCCCCCGGTAACCATAGAGACCAAGCCAGTCGCGCTGCGCCTGCGCCGGGCGTGCGGCTCGCTCTGTGCCCGACGGCTCCGCAGCTCGGGGGCTCGGCCCAGGCTACACCCGGGAAGTAACTTGCACACGAGCCGGGGAAGAGCGCGTCCAGCGAGGAGCGCGCTTCCTTGGCACGCGGGGAACCCGGGTTCTATCTCCGGTATCCCCTAGTGTTCCCCGAGCACCGCCAGAGTGATTCCGGAGCGCAGAGCCAGGACTTACCCCTGAGCATCGCCGCTCGGATGTGGCCCAGACCACCCCCCAGACCACCCACCATTCCCTTCTCACCGCCCCCAACAACAACAAAAAACTGCACACACCCTCCCGGTATGTGGTTAATAAACTAATGGCCTGTGCACCGGGTCTGGGTTCAGATTTTGACTGCATTTCTGTAGGTCCTTGAAAAAGTTTCGGCTCTGCGTTTAGGAAGGGGTTGGGGGACCCTATAAAGTGCAGGGAATTGAACCCGTTGGGCTGCGTGCAAGACAAGGGCCCACCCGCTATACTATCTAGTTTTTTTCTCTCCCCTCCCCTTCCCTTCCCCCCCTTCCCTTCCTCCTCCTTGGGAAAGCTTCTTAGCCTCACTACGCTTCAGTTTCTTCCATTTTTATTTATTTTTCCCCATCCAGAGAGCCGTTTTTGGTTTTGTTTTCTCTGGATTTGGGGCCACAGTTGGTGGTGCTCAGGGCTTACTTTTGATTCTTTGCTCAGGGATCACTGCTGACAGGCTCAGGAGACCATATGGGATGCTGGGGATCGAAGTTGGGCTGACTTTATGCAATGGAAATGCCTTACCCACTGTACTATCTCTCTGGCTCCTGTACTTGATTCCCTCACCCCTGAAATACCAGGCTGCTGACAGGAATGGTGTTGGCCCAGGAGTGACATGCTTCCATTTCTGCTACTCCCCTGTAAGTGATCCCTTTTGCTGACTGCCCAGACACCAAGGCTCCTGCAGACAGAAGCGGTTCTCGCAGCCTGCTACCTGTCAGGGCTCTCACTACATCTCCCAACACTAGCAGACTTCACATTGCCAGGTCTCTGCTCAGACCTGGGCTGGACCTCATCTGGAGGGTCTGAGCAACCCAAGGTGTTGGCAGAACCAAGTGCCCACTAGGGTGTCCAAAGAACTGAGTCTAGATATTGGACTTGGGAGCTGACTTGAGAGGGAGCCCCTCAAGTTCCTTCTGAATGCACAGGTATTCCCAGTCAACGGCTGTGAGTGCGGTGCACATGATTCCGACCAGCCACTAGTCACGGCAGAGCTCAGGAACTCCAGCACCAGCAGCCCAGAAGATGAAAGACATGGATAGTGACTGTAAAATCCAGGTAGTGCTTCTCTCACCAGACGAAGTACAGCAAGCCCAGGGCACAGGCAAGGGTTAAGCACACTGTGAAGAACCAGCCTGGATGGGGTGGAAAAGCCCAAGATTTGGCTGTCAAACATGGTCCAGTGAAGATTTGCTCTACACCAGCCAGCCTAACACTAGCCACAAACCTGGTAAGCCATAATAGTCAGCATGAAGACAGTTGGCCACAAGATTAGCAAAGGGTCATAAATCTAGCTGTGGAAGTGGCCTGCCATGCCTCCAAGTATAACAACGAGGCCTGACCTCACTGACACTCAACATTTTCCTCACATTAAGATAATATTGCCCTCCAGGGGCTTGGGAGATAGCACAGTGGGTGAGCACTTGCTTTACACGTGGCTGATCCGGGTTTGTCCCGGCATCCCATATGGTCCCCCCAAGCATAGCCAGGAGTAATTCCTGGGCACAGAGCCAGGAGTAAAACTCTGTTCACTGCCAGGTGTGTCCCCAAACAGAAAACAAAACAAAAAACTGTCCTCCAAGGTCCTTGCCTGTGGCCAAAGCAGGTTTGATCCTCAGCATCCCGTATGTTCCCCTGAGCACCCCCAGGAGTGATTCCTGAGTTCACTGTAGTACTGCACTGTCCTCCCATTGCTCATCGATTTGCTCGAGCGGGCACCAGTAATATTTCTATTGTGAGATTTTTTGTTACTGTTTTTGGCATATTGAATACACTACAGGGAGCTTGCCAGGCTCTGCCATGCGGGCAGGATACTCTTGGTAGCTTGCCGGGCTCTCTGAGAGAGATGGAGGAATTGAACCTGTGTCAGCCGCATGCAAGGCAAATGCCCTACCCGCTGTGCTATAGCTCCAGTCCTGGAAATAATCCCCGAGTACCACAGGATATACCCCCCCCCATCATCCCCTCTTCCAAATTACCTGTGGTGCTCAGGGGCTACTTCTAGTTTTGTGCTTATGGGTGATTTCTTTTTCTTTTCTTTTTTCTTTTTTTGGAGGAGGGGGCACACCTGACAATGCTCAGGGGTTACTCCTGGTTCTGTACTCAGGAATTACTCCTGACAGTGCTCAGGGGACCATATGGGATGCTGAAGATCAGATACAAGTTGGCCTCTCAGAGGTCATTTCATTTCTTTGTGTGTGGGGGTGGGGTGGGCAGGGGACACACCCGGTGATGCTCAGGGATTATTCCTGGATCTGCACTCAGAAAATACTCCTAGCAGCGTTTGGGGGAACAAATGGGGTGCTGGGGATCGCTGCCTGCAAGGCAAATGCCCCACCCTCTGTATTACTGCTCTGGCCCCCTGTGGGTGGAGGTTATTTCTGATGATGCTCAAGGGTCCATGCAATGTTAAGGATAGAATCCCGATTGGCAACATGATACAAGGCAAGTGCCTTAACGCCTAAGGATTGCAGTTCTGAGGCTGAGAGCACAGAAGTGAAGGTGCTTACCTGGCTTGCAGCTGATCCCTGTTTAATTTCTAAGACTGTATACAGCCCCCACCCACCACTAGCACCTGTAGGTCTCTGAGCACCTGTGGGTACCACAATGCATGAAGGTGTGGGAAGAGAATATTAGGGCACTTCTAATTCTTACATAATCTTGTATTTTGTGAAGTAAAATAGTTTTAGAGAAATAATTTTTTTACTTAGAGAAATTTACTAAGTAATTTTACTTAGAGAGTGAAGAGAGGAAGGGAGGGGTAAAGAAAGAGAGAGATGTTTGAAAGGAAACAATTGTGTGTGGGGGGCGGGCAGAGAAAGTACAGTGTGTAAGGCACTTGCCTTGCACTTGGCAGATCCGGGTTTGGTCTCCAGCACCCCATATGGTCCCCCAAGCACCGCCAGGAGTATACCCCTGAGCATTGCTGGGTGTCGACTAAAAATAAAAAACAACAAACAAAAAAAAATAATATGGTTTTCTCCAGAGGGGAATAACTGAGTACACATCTTGAGATGTGGGCGACCCTCTATGAAGAATTCCTTTCTAAAATTTTTTAACTTTCATATATATATAAAAGAACTGACAGAGGAAACCAGGTGTGTGGGACCCGGGGCTGAGATCTCCAAGCCTGTACAGTTTGGGACTGGACCTGCCAGTAACTAGACAGTTACACCCACCAACTGCCGTGTAACTCCAACAACGGCCAGGATCCAGAGATCATCACACTCAGCTCCTGGGAGAGAACAAGACAGAGTCTCCTACCCTATGCCTGACTGTCTCCACCAGGGCCCAACAGCTGAAGACCACCGAGGCCCAGCCAAGGCCATGCTGAGAGCACTCTCCACACACTTGGATGAGCCTCACGCATAAAAGAACTGACAGAGGAAACCAGGTGTGTGGGACCCGGGGCTGAGATCTCCAAGCCTGTACAGTTTGGGACTGGACCTGCCAGTAACTAGACAGTTACACCCACCAACTGCCGTGTAACTCCAACAACGGCCAGGATCCAGAGATCATCACACTCAGCTCCTGGAAGCGCGCGGCCGCATTCGCGGCCGCGCGACATCTTATCATCTCATTCCTAATTCGGTCAAACTGGCAGGCTACCAAATGTAACATGCCCACACGGCAGAGTCTGGCAAACTCCCCGTGGTATACCCAATATGCCAAATACCAGTAACAATGATGGGTCTCATTCTCCTAACCCTGAAAAAGCCTTGAATATGGCACTTAAAAAAAAAAAAATCTCAGGGCTAGGACGAAGAAGACGTTACTGGCACCTGCTCGAGGCAATCGACGAACAACAGGGTGGTCGTGATGATGATGATTCTCCTAACCCTGAAAAAGCCTTGAATATGGCACTTAAAAAAAAAAAAAATCTCAGGGCTAGGACGAAGAAGACGTTACTGGCACCTGCTCGAGGCAATCGACGAACAACAGGGTGGTCGTGATGATGATATATATATATATATATCTTGTAGATATAATAATAAATGGATTTGGGCTATTTCCTTTGCAGTGGTATGCTCTCAGAAAGTTCAGCCTTCCAAGCTTTCTGGTTATACCGTCCAAAGTCCTTGGCTGAAGAACACTAATAGCATGCAGTACCAAGGTATTACAGACATGGAAACATTTTGCTCTCCCTCCCCCTCGATTGACACCGTTTCCGCCCTGTAATCATCCTACAGGTGTGTATGTTCTCGCCAATGACAGGTAATATTCACTGTTGGTAGGACGGTCCCCTGACTTGGACTTCGCGCTCAAGCCTCTAGTAGGCGGAGCTGCCAAAATTGGAAAACTGGAGCCCAGGGCGATATACGGCGGGTAAGACGATTTACCCGGGTTCAAACCCCGCACTGCATATGGTTCCCGGCCCCGCCAGGAGTGATACCCGAGCGCAGAGCCCAGGAGTGAGCCCTGAGCACGGCCGGGTGAGGCCCCGCCTCCAACGGGCAAAACCCGGGAAACTACAATTCCCAGAATCCCAAGCCCCGACGGGGCTTGCGTCGTTCCCATGGTGACTGCGGACGCCTGCCTGGATTCCCGGGTGCGGTAACTTCCGGCTGAGCGGGTACGCCCGTGCTCCGGAGCATCCGCTCACCTTCGCGTGGTCCTCCTCTCCCAGGCAGATGGTTCAAGTCCTCATCTCCCAGGCAGATGGTTCAAGTGAGCCTTTGCTCTCTCCAGCGCGATT